CACATGATCGTATGTCGTAAGTTGCAGTCTACTCTCACAATACAGACACCCCTCCGGACCGGCTCCAATGTTCAGTTTTTCGTCCAGTTTAGTTTGTAAAACTTGTACTGAACCCATTTCGAACAATATGTTGTAGTCAGGGCCTAGCTATTTAATTAATTTATCAAAGCCATGGATTCTTTTGACTGCCTAGCCTACGCAAATTCAACACATTATTTAATACAGTAATACTTACAGTAACTGTTGTTTTGCTGTACTGCTCAGCAAATTTAATTATTACCAATAAAACTGATGCGAATTTTATATTGTTTTTGCGTGTATTTCTTTAGGTCTAATTATGTTTTTCCAAGCACACATTCTACGTTGGGCAATGCAGGCTGTGATGACGTCAGATCGCCCAAAGTTTTATAGTGCATGACAGTAACAAGCTCGGTGTAATCATTCACATCTCCCTGGTTTTTCAAGAATGTTTTAATTAAACAAATTTATAAAACAAAACAAAAAACAAATAAGAAACCCTTATGGTATATTTTAGAGTCAAATCTAAATAAACCTAACAAATTATATTTTATTCTCTACAAATTTCCTCCGTACCGACCGTAATTAAATTAGCAACATGTTTTGAAAAGCATCTTGAGTTTAAAGAATGAATGAGGTGCATTTGAAAATTACACCGACGAATCTAACGAATTTGAATTAGACGTCTACTGAAAGGAATACCCAGTAGAAACTTGCTTTGTTGAGTTCCCTCTTTATTACAGGTTGATTCCAAATGGTTTTTAAGGATTAAAAGCAAGAATATACACTTATTAAAACACTGGAATGCATAAATTTCACTTCATAATTAACCAACAAAACGTCTACTGGTATGTCGTGTTAATCAACAGATAATCTCCATGGCAATGCGAGTATAGCTAAGCGTCTTGTTTTCACAGCGTATGGTATGCTTGTCATTACACGATGTCTATTTAACTATCGTCTGGTTTTTCGAGTGAGTGTTACCGTCCTGAATTGGACAAATCGTCCGAGATTTGGAATAGGGAGTTCATGTTTTCGAAAAGTATTTTATTAAAAGAATAGGAATGAGTTTGGGACTTAAGAAAATGTTCGGTTTTGCGTGAAATTCGATTTTGTGGGCATTGAAATCTGTATAATATATATATAACTCGAACTTTTTATGCCAATCCCATTAGATTCGACTTAGGCAAACTCGACTGATTGAAAAAAAAGATAAAAATATATCATTTTTATAAAATTCAACCGCGGTTGATTGTAATTAATGATAACAATTAAAGTATAGTTGTAATAACTTATAGGCCTACAGGTAAATTACGCTACATAAGAATGAACTATTATTATTATTATTATTATTATTATTAATCATTATTATTATTATTATTATTATTATTATTATTATTATTATTATTATTATTATCATTATATTATTATTAAAGGCCACAGAAATATATGAATAATTAAAATGCCTAAACAGTATTTATTTTTCAATATATAAATATCAGAAATCGCTGTCGCACACTAAGACCACAATAAAATTAATATATTTCGAGTTCCTAGTCCACATTTCAAGCGCCCTGAGCATCTTACATTAGATGGATTTGTGCGCTATATAAAACTACACTATTATTATTATTATTATATTCATTTAAATATTGAAATTGTATTTATGAAAAATGTTTAAAAAAAATCTTTAAAACCGTATAGTTTACATTCTGTCAAAATG